GCAGTTTTCAAGCAGGAACAAGAAAATATGCAGCAGAGCACAAAGACTGCTTTAAAATCCTTTAATTCATCTAGAGAAGACGGAAGAGGGAGTCAAAGGAGACAGACATCATCCAGGAGAAGGTACGAGTAGATATCAGCAAACACTTCCCTTCACATGTAGTGTAGCTGCTCTGGAGACAAAGAAAAACAAGAAGAGATCTGAAGGAGTTCAGAGGACATGGCAGAGGGTAATTAAAAGCAGTTATTACTGTGAATAAGAGGGCAGATAAAAGCAAAGCAGATATATACATCAGAATAAACAAACAAACAAACAAAAAAAACAACCTCCTTGTGCCCAGCGCCATTCACTTCTGGAATTAAACTTGTTTCAGACCATGTGAATTGAATCTTTGTATCAAGTGTTAAATTCTAGTAGATCAACAGAATAACAGTTGACAGCTGTAAAGCTGCCAGTGAAATTAAGAGCTTTTCTAGCCAACTAACACTGAATCTCTGTCCAAAGGTTTAAGGTTTACAGAGCCGGTTCAAATTGCATTTCATGCTTGACCTTCTGCAATGCTCGTGAACTGGTCGAATGCATCGCTGTGTTGTTTTTATCAAGTCAAAGCACTGGGAGAGGATTTTCTACAGAAAATCTACACAGATTGCATAATGTGGGCTGCCCTCAAATGCCTTTTGGTTTTCCCTTTGGAAAGTTTTTTCAGAAGCTGGCAGCAAAGCAACGATGGGCAGGTCTTTACTTCTGCATGCACCTATTGCAGCTCAGATGTTTTTACTGTATCTGGGTTCAAACAAGATCCAAATCTGGTCTGAATGGCCTGAATGCTGATTTCTTGGCTATGTCTGCAAGTTTAGCCAAAAATCCTGTATTATTCAGCCAACTTGCTGAACACTTGTGAAAGGAATCCCAGTCCAATTAAGTGTACCAGGAATTATCCGCTCAGTCTTATTATTTTAATTTTATACATGTTGAGCAAGTCTTAATGGCAAAATGATAATATTTTCTCTCTGTTCAAAGGATGTTCCTGTGCAAGTAGGGATTTGCACACCTGTAGAACAAGAGTTGTTTATATAATAAATTGTATGAAACTGGGTCTATTCTATTGGAAAATTCTAGTTCAGTTTTACCCTCTTAGAAGAACAATGTAGAAATCTGTTTATGAGATTACTGTGGACTTTAAGATAGTAGATGTGATTATATGTACCTTGTAAAGATAGGAAAGAATAGTATGGAAGATATGTCTACAGCTTGTGCCTCTAGGTCTTAATTCTAAGTGTTCAACAATATGGTCCTGCTTAGCGATTTTAAGCTACACTTTAAACTGTGGGAATGAAATCCTAGTAGGTCCTTTAATTTTGTATTTAAAATAGAGTCAAATTAACTAATTTGGAACTATTTCTAACTGATCTTTGCACTGTGTCTAATGCACTAGCTATACTGTTTATTTATATAATTTATTCTTTTTTATACTTAAATCATATTATTTTGCCCTTAAATCGTATTTGTAATTACACATTCAGTAGGATTGGTAAACTTTAGGTAATGCTGTAAAATAGAATTCAAGGCTGTGTGGGATGCACAGGGAAAGAACAGAGGGACAAATCAGACCAAACTGCACAAAACAAAACCCAAGAATGAATCAGCATAAACACTCCAGCTTTGTTCCCAATGCACTGCCTGAGACAGATGTTCACTATAGGGACATTTTGCTGACTGGTTCACAATCTCATGCCTCACTTGGTTGCAGGATATTTCTGCTGTGTTCAGTTAGATTTTGTTATCCTTTTCTAGTATAGCTACATTTTTTATTAAATATGTCACTCCTAGTACTATTTGAGATACAGAACTTGACAACTGAAAGGGACCCGTTGCAGTTCAGCTGGTTAAATATTTCAAAATTTCAGCCACGCAGACTTACACTGTACATTTTCCTGGATGAAAATTGGATAGTGTATTCTGGTTGAAGGAAGAAGGTTGTTCCATTTCAGTGGTATCAGTAATGATTTTTAGAACTGCTGTTGGTATTAATAATGCAGTCACGTTAGGGTTTGTTTCTTGTAATACTCCACGTGGTTTGTTAACAAAACTAATCTGTTAACTTTTATTCTTTTCAAAAAAATGGTAATACACAGATGTACAAACCCACATTCATATGTTGTTTTATTGGAGCGTTACAACATGACATTTCCTTCACATTGAGAAAGCATGAGATTAAAATACATTGATCCACAAAAATGCCTTCCCTTTACTGACTTTGCACTGGTAATGACAGCACCTACAGATCCCTCCACAAGTTTCATTTCATTAAGTCTTTCATAATTTTAATTACATTTTAATCAAAGCATTTACATTGTCTATTTTATGACTTTCAAATTAATTATTCTCATTAAAATATGTTATTCTTTACTGCTTTGCAATGTTCATCAATTACTCTTGCAACGCAAGTATTTATGCTGCATTACACTTTGTATTCCAATCATTTAACAGCCACTAGTCATTTGAGGGCTGTATAACCTTTCCCCATCCCAAAGAAGATAGCTTGTTTGTATCAAAAGCCATTAAAATACCGGGAATGCGTACAGCACACTTAGGAGGCCCCACTCATTTTTGAGAATAAGCCAGATCTCTATAAAAACATGCAAAATGCTCTGTGCATCAGTATTAAATATCTAATTTTGATTTAAGATACTTTGTTAACATTTGCATATAACCTGGAAGACTAGGGTTCCT